AAAATAGGTTTGTTTATACCAGCAACACTTAGAACTGAATTTAAATCTCAAATAACTTCCGTAAAATTTATATTTTAAACTTTTATCATGCGTAAATTATTGTAAATAAAGCTAAAGCTTAATAATTCCTTGGACTTTTGATGTTCAAGAATTGAATAACCTACTCTCGAACTTCCGATAGAGGTGTAAATTTGATCCATGACTGAGAAGAAGGTTTTGGAGGTCTCTGAACGATGTCATTTCTTAAACTGACGAAGCAAGAATAAACAAGATTTTAGATGTCGTCGTCCTTGAGCAACTTCACTGCTTAAGTTTCATTTTCCCGCTAAAGACGACGTCCTCGTTCCAGACCCTCCGTGATTACTTGACGTCGTCGTCGTCCCTTTCGTCGTAGTTGCTTAAGCTCCCTATTATTATTATGTCGCAGAGAAATCAACTGAATGCTCCATTCTAATCAGGATTATTGATTGTGTTTCTCTCGTTTGCACAGACGTGGAGACAAGACAAACAATCAGCTCCATTATCCGCTCAACAATAACTTGAATTAGATAGTCTAACCTATCTTAGTAACGTGAAATTTATCAAAACCTCTAGCAAATCTCAAGACCCTTGATAACAGTACATCGTAGACAAGCGTGCAAAAGTAGGTAATTATTTAGACCCTTCATGATTCGAAAGGAATATCGTAACACTTTTACTCCGAAGAACAAACATTTGAGTTACAATGCATTTTAACGCAACGAGCTTCCCCCAGGTGGCAACGTCTTTCGGTACCAGGTTTAACTTAAAAATGTAGAAAAGGACAGGATGCGGAAACATTGTGGGCCATCAAATCCGCCAGGTTTCCTCTTGCTTCACAACTGTCACTGCTGCTGTGTACGCCTGACACTTTCAGAATAACGTAGAGCTTGGCGCGCCCTCGACTTCGACTTTTTTTTTTGTACGGACTTTTAAGTCCGTATGGAAGAAACCTATTGAAGCTATAAAAATAGCTTTGTTGATTTGACTGGAAACCAGACTCTCCATTGGACGTTAAAAACACACATTTGTCTGGCCCACTGTCAGAAAGAGCGAATTTCAAACGCACTTCTTTGAGGAAGACGTCCATCCAGCTTTTTAACTTTGGAGAGAAAACAATTCTGCGGGACCATGGGTGCTCACTGTCTTGTGATCCTTCACAAGAACGACGAATTCGTCACTCTCCTTTACCATTCTGTTGTATTTCCCGACTGTCATATTCGCGAGAGCCCCTGCCCTGTTAGCGTTGTCAATAGATATCTCAACTAGTAAGAAATCTCGATTTAACGTGTAATGAGTTTTTGTTATAAGGATGTTGTGTGTACCTGATGACCAGCGGCTGACCTTTTCTCTAAAAGAGATTAGCTTATCCTTAGAAACAGTTATTCCTGATTGATCAGTGAGGGAAAGGAGTAAAAATGACATAAACTCATTAAATAACTTTACGTTGTTTTGGGGTGGTATTCTATTTAGCTTTTTTAATTTTTTTATTTTTTTGGTTGATCCGGGAGAGGGGTTTCTCACACACTCATTGAGCCACCAATTTTTTTTTTTCAAACTCATCACAAAACCTACCTTACAAAAGGGACATGTTTTCTCCTTGTTGGAAAGCGCCCAGGAAAAAAAAAAACGTAGAACACAGTTGTTGTTTTGCGTTTACGAAATAAAGAAGTACCAATGAAAATTTATTGTGCGAACAAATGATTGAGTGCGAATCTTACATTTCGAAAAGCCATGTGTTTGATACAAGCTAGAAAAATACTAATAGGTTAACCCGTGACCCAGTAAATAAACAAAAAAAAATTCACTCATCACAATCAGTATCAAAATCAAAGGATAAAAACGGATCAGCCAGTGGACTGTGAATATCACTTGTTTCAAAAGACTTTCATTTTATTGAATCGCCCTGTCTTCGGGACACTCTGATGTTTACTTCATAAACCCCCCTATCCTTGGAATACCCCCTATCCCCTTTTCTTTGTCTGTAGCAACCACTGTAACCAACGAGAATACAGCGCACTTTCATTTGAAAATATAAATCATTGTCGAAGCAAAAGAAAGAAGCCGGGAATGATATCTCGCACGAAGATTTATTGAAAGTTCAGGAAGTAGAAGCTGGTGATTTGCCTTTATTCGAATTGGAATTTCGTGCCACTGGTCCGCGTAAAAATTGGAAAAAAGAATGAGGTTGAAAAGCAAAGATTTACCGCACGTCTGCAAGAATAACGCGCTCCCACATCTAACGATCAAGTGGGACAAGAAATGACTTCTGTCTTGGAGTGTGCTATTCTTAAAGAAATGGATACACAGAAAGATTTACCTCCTCATCATGTTATTCCTTTTAATATACAGGCGGAAGGATATCCTCGTGCCTTCCTGTCAACAAGTTTTACAGCGCAAGAATTTCGTGAAGAAAGTCCGCGGTTACGAACCAACAGGCATCCTTGACGGAGGAGCTAACACGGAACTCTAACACGACGCGCACAACTAGTATGTGACTCGACAGACAGCTTATCCGACGAGAACAAATACCTTCACCGTGTTTTTACGAAGAACAACTACAACAACGACTTCATCCGACGAAACACTCACCGACCCACTACCACTACCGAAACAAACGACACCGCAACCCCTACGACTACAGCAACCATACCGTACATAAAAGGAAAGCTGGTTTACTAACTTAGAACAGACTCCCCTAAACAGATGTCAACAACTACCCGCCCCATACAAACGACTCATNATTTTAAGCTGACGCGTACGCTTACCATATTTGTAGATTATGGTATATTGGCTCATATACCATAATGGCTAAGCCAATAAAAAGTCTTGAATTGCATTATCCAATGATCCAGTTTTTAATAATACTCATTAGGTGTTCGAGAAAGACGAAAACAACACACAAAATCATTTGGGAGTCCGTTAAAAACAAACGAAAAGAAGGCGTTTCACCTAAAAGATTTTTGCTTAAATAATAAAGCCTTTATCGTAAGGACGTAAACTGGAGCAACCATTTCCTTGCTTCACCTTCCATAATTAGTTTACCCAGTTCAACAGAACAACTACAGTGCAGGGATGTTTTACTCACCTTTCTGTCTTTTTCTAGTAATTTGCACACGTAGTTTTTCTAGTTCGCGTTCAAGAAGATCAGTAAAGAGTTCAGGGGGAGGCCGAGTACCTGACAGGAAAGGTAACCAGGAATTGTATTTATTATTCAGTGCCTCGTACTATCTTGCATTAATGGTTAAAGACTGGTATTTAACACCGAAGTAGCAAATGGAGGTCAGGTGCCCCAGGGCTGCAACTGCAGTCGTACCCAAGGCACTAGAACACCTGACTGGCCTACCCAACCCGCAACCCAGCCACGAGCCCCCCCCGCACCAAACCCCCGTCACACTAGAGCCCGAAGGCTTTGTGGAAGAAAAATAAATAAACAAATGAATAAATAAAGAAGTGAACAAATATATATAAACAAATAAAAAAAACCCCTAAACGAAAAAAGAAAAAAGCAATTGAGGAAGGGAGGGAGGGAACACCGAGAAGCTATCCTCAAGGACGACAACGCCACGCTAAACACAATGTAAGCACATGATAATAATAGAATGCTTAGATTCATTTATCTCTAATGAGAAATCAATTAACATTTTCTATTCACCTTCCATTCTGAGCCTCTTAAGTTCCATCTGTAGTTCTGCTAGTTTTACCTCAACATGACTGGTTGACGATTGATGGGCAGGTAAACTACCTGAGAGTAAAGGTATACAGAGATATATTTTGCACTCAGTGCCTCACCTTTTGTAAAAAGTTAAGGCATACAACAACATGTATCAAGGTCAAGTGAAGGAACAATGGTGCAAGTTTTCCAATACATAACCTACAATCATTATTGAAATTAACTATCTATAGGTATTGTTTCATCATCACATGCCACAGCTAATTTCATCCTGCCTCAACCTGAAGTTACAGACTAAGAGGCAAAACTGAAATGAGAATATTTTCCTTAACAAAACTAAGTTACTGAAAAGTAGCTGAGAGCATCAACAGCATTCTTCAACAGAAAAAGGTTATTATCTCAGATGGGGGATAATTTTTCTTGAAAGTTATAACTGTAAAATATTATGAAAACATTTATTACATCTATTAGTGTTGAGCCATTTGCAAGGCTAAAATATTTTACGGCAAAAACCAAATATTTTTTGACACTGGGTCAACATCATCAGCCTGATGATGACATGTTGTCAAAACATTTGGTTCTCCTTTTTAAATGTTTTAGCATTGTAAAAAGCCCATTTTTAACTGAAGCAAATTTATAGACATTTATTAGCATTTTTGGATCGGTTTCTTCCTGAGAAATGACAATAAAACAAAATTTTTTTTTCACCTTCCATTCTCAGCCTCTTAAGTTTCACACATACTTCTTCTAGCTTTTCTTCAAGATCAGTGGTAGAGAGAGGAGGGGAAGGTAAAGAACCTGACAGCAAAGGTATACAAAGAGTTATTCAAAATTCCAAGTCTTACTTAACACAGAAAAGATATCAATAGGCATACACTGTACCTGTACCAACAGCAAATTACATTTGTGTCAAAGTAAAGTAGTGTCAGTTCTCCTTTATAACACCAAGGATCATTTTTTAAAACAACTATTCGTTGTATATACATTTATTGTTACCACATGTCAAGTTGTACCCTGAAAGTTAATTAGAACGCATTTTTTCAATCATCTTCCATTCTTTGAAGTTTCATACCTAGCTCTTCTACTCCTTTTTCAGGATTATGTGTGGAAGTTCCATGGAGAGGCAACATACCTTAAAGGAAAAGTATACAGAGAGGCTGAAATTAGCATTCAATGATTTCTCTACAAATAAAAAGTTATCAATAGGTACTTCAACCTGTATATTAAGATAGATACATGTAGATTGCCTTTATTTAAAACCAAAAGCTTTTAAACCAAAAAAGCTGTTGAAAACAAATATTTTAGTGTATCTATTGTTTCATCAGCACAAACCAACTCAATACTCCCTTTAACTAAAGCAAAGAATAAAGCCCAACTAAATTTGGAATAATCTACTCTGAAAGTATCACTTTACATAAATGTTAAAGCATTTGACAGCACTCTTGCTTAACAACTACAACCAAAAATTGGCCAAAACAGCATTCTGTTTCTTTTTTTCACTCACCTTTCTTTCCCTGAGGTTTCACAATTTTGTGTCTTACTTTCTCAGTCTTTCTCAGTCCTTTTTTATGACCAGAAGTGGACAATACAGTAGAGGGTGAAGTATCTAAGGGTAAAAGTAGACAGAACAATTTAAAGTGGAGTTACTTTTAATAGAGGGAGGATAAAATGGGTGATGATAGAAAATAAAAAATATGTTATGGTGTGCAAATTTGAAAACCACAACTTTCAGTCTGTTAAACATGACATGACAAAATAGGATATACCATTACTAGCTCGCTTATGGTTGAAAAACATCCAAAATATTAGAAATATCAAGAAATATGTTTAGAATAAAAAGGCTAACTAAAACATATTTGTATTTTTGTTGTTTGGAAAATGTAAGTGGTAAACTGGTGTAAAGTTCTTTCCCGAGTTCCACCCATGCTAAAAAAAAGCTTCATCTTTCATCACTGGTTACTTCTGAAATAAATGTCTCAGAAGTGTCAACTCAAGGAAATACCGTGTGAACCACATACACCATTTGACCAAGTTTGTATCCCTCCCCAAGATTCATTTTTCGAAACAAAATCTCTATTGCATGTATTTTGAAAGCAGCATGTTTCTAATCCTCAAAATTTGCAAATAGGCTACTTATGCAATAATCTTTATTAGTATAATTTCAGAGCTGAGCAAAGAGTTTCCAGCAATCTGATTGGTCAAGCGGTTCCTTATATTACGCTATATAAACCGCTCCACGCGGTTTATGTAAAATGTTAAAATAAAATGTTAATAAATGTTACTAAAATGTTATGATTTTAGAAATTTCTCTGTTGTTCAGCTCTGAAATTATACTAAAACAATTATTCGCCTCAGTTTCGGTGAATATATATATCTTATTAACCAAGCGCGAGGGCCATACTAGGAGAATATCGGCCCAAGGTCTTGACAGTACGGATCTCGCTGCGCTCGGTCCGTACAAAAAAGACCGAGGGCCGATATTCTTCCAGTACGGTCCCGAGCAAGCTTGGTTAATAAGAGATTTATTACACGACTGAAGTTCAAAGGGACACAAGTGCGGTATCATTCGGGACCATTCGGGACAGTGCCCGGTCCAAAACTGAGAGAATATTGACCGCCAATAGAGCATTTTGATTGGTTGATTTTAGTTATTGGCCCTCTGACTTCCCGAGTCGTGTAATAATGTCGGGGATTATTCGACAACAATCACCTCAGCTTCGGAGAATAATTGTTAAGTATAAGAGAAAACAAAAGGATTCCAAAAAGGTCAAGATAGCCTCCAGTAATGCCAGGAATTTTCAGTAAAGTTGTACCCAGACAGTTAATTCAACAGCTTTTTCATTCACCTTCCCCTAACTGAAGTACCCTGCATAGCTCTTCTAGTTCTTCCTCAGGATCAAAGGTGGAAGGTCCAGGCAGAGATAAGATGCCTAAATGCAAAGGCATACAGAAGAGAGATTAGAATTCAGTAACTTTCTTATAGATAAAAAAAGAAGTCCACAACAAGAATTTCAACCCGTATATATACATGTATTACAATAGTTGGCTAGCCTCTCTTTAAAACCTGAAGAGCTGTCAAAAACAACTATTCAATATATACATTCTTTCAATCTATCAACTCAAAACTCTCTTTAACCTAGGTAGACTATGAGGCAGAACCAAATTTGGAATAATTTAAATCAAAAAGTGTGTATGTTTGGTTGTTTCGTTTCCACAAGCCAGCTCATAACTCCCATAACATCAGTAAAGAATGATGCTCAATCCCAACTGGAATAATTTACACTGAAAAGTATTCACTGACTTTATGTAACTGCTGAAGAGCAATCTTGCTTGATAAAAATAACAGGTACAGTACGTTTAATTGTTTATAACCAACTAAACCTTGGTTTCAGAGTCTTTTTTTAACTCACGTTTCTCTTCCTGAAGTTTCATAGTTTTCAGTCTTCCTTCCAGTTCTTTTCCATGACCAGCAGTGGGCAGCATGGTGGAGAGTGAAGTACCTGAGGGTGAAAACATACAGAGCAATCATATTAGTATTCATGGTGTTACTTTCAACAGAGAGATGAAAAAATGCTAGACCAACTTGTGACTATCTATAAAAAGTGTATGAATTTAATCTAAAATATGTCAATGTAAGTTTTTCAATGTACATAATTTCTGATCAAAGTTGAAAAAACTCTATCATACTATCATTTCACTATTATAATAATAATTCTAACTATTTGATAGTTTTTGTAATATTAAGTATAATTTCTCCGCTGATTAAAGAGATGCACAGGCTCTGATTGGTCGAGGATTATAGCCCATCTTGCTATAATCACCTAAAATGAGGTAATTATAGCAGGGGCGTCAGATGTCAAAATGGCTGCTTTGTCAAAGTGATGAATCAATTAATTTAAATATATGAAAATTATATGTGTGTACTACCGTTTAATGAAATGTATGTGGAAAAATGGATGGATGGATGGGTTAGATGACCACTCCCCATGGGGCTTTTCAGGGCCATTCTTACAACACTGTGCGGGGGACTTTGCCAGACTGCTAGAAGCAGTTTACAACAAATCAAAGGAAGTTCAAGATGCCCCCTCCCCCCAAGCAATTCCCAGTAAACAGGCAAGACCACATCACAGTAACCTCGTGATGTGAGTTCTTTAACGTACCCTGCCGAAATTAACTAATTGATAGAACCTCCCAGTTAGCTCAATGGATAGAGCGCTGGACTGTTGTGCGGGAGGTCGAGGGTTCGAGCCCCGGCCGGACCAGCACTCAGGGTCTTAAAATAATTGAGAAGAATTTGCTGCCTTTCTATAACATCAAGAAATGGTTAGATATTCTAGTCTTCTCGGATAGGGACGAATAAATGGAGGTCCCGTCTCCTGCAGGGTTGGGGTAGGAGACGTTAATTTCCCACACACGAGATTACTGTGTGATGGATGTCCTCCCCTGGGGTGGGATGGGTGGGATATTGGGCGCACTTAATTTGGAGCCTCGCTCTGTTGTGCGACCCTCACCA